TCCTACTCCCTACCAGTGATATAACAAATTGTTCATTAACCTGTTGCTGAAAACTGAACTCACAAAGACATAGAAGATCGCCATTCTCATAAGCTTTTACTGGCACATGGGTAACTCTTAGATCTGAAAAAAGTCTTCAAGGACTGAATTTTGAATGGTAGTCTATCAGACCTAATGACAGATGGTTTGAGCATCAGGAAGCTTCGGTCCTATCACACAGAAAGGTGACCAGAACGCCTGCAAATATGTGCGTAGGCCTTGACCTGGGTAGTGGCAATTATCTGCATGGCTTCTCTCCAAAGTTCCTCCCTGGGTGTACACTTTCAGCTCTCTAGGTCCCACAGTTTAAAACCAGACACCACCTAAGCTTCAAGAAAGTAAAAATGGAATCAGATTTAGGAAGCATGTAGAGATATGCCCAGAATAACCATATCACAACAAAAGCAGCTCTAACAAAAGCTCGGTGTCAGAGAGAAAGAAGGCACATCCATTAGTTCTCTGAGATAACCTGCTCACTTGTTTGAATATGTTCCAACTTTCTCCTAAATTATATGCCCAGAACCACCCAGAGTAGCTGCATGCAGACCTCTCTAGATGCCTTTATGTCCATGTATGTTTTGTTATTGAATAAAATTTTTCTTTCTCTATTGAATTTGTTGAATCACTCAGTTCGAAGGATTTGTTCTAACTCAAGCTTCTTTTCAGTTGGCACATTGTGATACTGTCATTCAGAGAGACCTGCTCTTGCTGTCGTCAAGAGGATATTTTATTCTGCCCTAACCTCTTCAGCCCATTTACTATTGTTAGCCTCAGCAAGGGCACTGCAATGATTTAAGTCCTTTACTAACACCCTGTATGACCTTTCATTAATTCGTTCTTTTCTAATTTAGAACCATGTAGAAGACAGAAAACATGCTGTCCGAACCATCAATCAGCTCATCCTTAGAGATTATAAAGTTAATGATAAATGTTCACATTTGTCATTTCAAAGACAAGCTTAAGGGTCTTCTTTTCCAAATTTTTACTGCAAATTTCTAATTCCACATTGTCAATTAAAGTATTCTTTCCCCTCAGCATTGTGTGCTAAATATACAGGTAGAATACTCTCTTATTCAAATACTCTTCAATTTCATGCCTCTTTCAATTTCCCCTTTATGAATCTTTATGTAATTTTCCTGGTTTTCATATCTTAAATTATCTTCACTGCCTCACAGCTTCAAGTAGAAAAATAAAGACTTCCTTTGGGTTGACATTTAAAGGTTTATTATTCTCTTTTTGATATATGAGCTTAATGCTCATTAACACTAAAATGAACCAGCTGAGAAGAGGGAAAAGAAAAAAAAAAAAGCTGCCTTCAAAGATCCTGGGATAAATAATATAACACTCTCTTCCTTCCTCCTGACTACAATGATATTAACCAATTCCACATTCCTTTAAGGTAAGCTTTTACAAATTTAATACTGTCTGTTTTAACTCTTCAGAGCGATGCAAATGCTGCCCTGGAATCTGGTTGCTTTGTTAGAAATTCTTTTTCCTCAAAATAGAATTAACACAGCCTCTTCCATTCCATTTTTCTAGAATTACCCCTTAAGATTAAATTTAAAGCAGCCTCTAAACATTTATTTGAAATTATATATAAAGCATGTAGTCCTTTAGGAAACATCATCATGTGATCCTCTTGAAATTTGGGGAGTTCCAATAGTTGAGGGAATTTTTAAATTAAAAATTTAATATAGGTAATTAAAGTAATATTTTTCATTCATCATGTTTCCAAAATCCCCTTGTGGTCTGTGTATTTACCAGTTTCTTCCTGTGTAGATTTCTTTCTTTCTTCTATCTGAATATTTTAGGTGAAGTCAAATTTACCCAGCCTCTGCTAGGAAGTACTGGGAACACAGTTTGTTTCTCTGGCCCTTTAAAATCATGCTTTTTCACTCTGCATCAGCCAAGAAACATCCTGCCAAATAAGTCTGCTGGTGATTTGATATAACTTTTCACAGGTGACCTATCATATATGAATCATGTATTATGTATTGGAAATAGTTCAGAAAAGCTGCTGAGTTTCCTCTCTCCATAATGAACTTCCAATTCCTAAAACAACATTAAATCCTAGGATTTCCTGAGATGGAAAACACTCGGATTTCCTGGAACAACTATTAAATTCCCCAGAGGGATAACAAGCTGCTCATTTTGCCAATGGTCACAAGTCATTCCTCAGAGATCTTATCCTCAGTGGATAGGTTTCTATGCACAACGATAGTTTAAAAAACAGAACCTCTCCAGAATAGGAAACACAGGCACTACCTCCCATTGGTGCTAATTTCAATTCCTACCTGAGGTCCCCTTTCCAGAATTTTCCACTTGCTCCATTTCTCCATCCTCAAGTTTCAGTGATTAATGCTGATCAGGATTATCTCAGGGTTCTGTTTTGTGTAGCAGACTGCATGCAGAGATAATAAGATAGCTAGAGTTTGCGTATCTGATGGGCCTCACTGCTTCAGCAGTCTGGATAGTAGAGCAACATTTTCCATAAGCTTGTCTGATAAGTAGAGTCAGACCGGGCAGGTCCTCTAACACAGGCCTTGCCGTGTCCTGTGGCAGACACAGGAATGAGGACAGCTGACTGGAGCTTCACTCAGGGAAAAACCGAAAGTCAGATATATTTAATCCCAAATGTATCTTCCTCAATTTGATAAGACACTTATTAGCATTTAATGTTCAGGTTATATCAGTGCTTCTCTGAATAGAATGCATCTGTGCCTCTGAGAATCTTCTTAGGGTGCAGATTCTGATCCCCCGAGTCTGGGATTTGACATGAGATTCTGCATTTCTAACCAACCGCCTCCCAGGGGATGCTGGTCCAAAGCTGGTCCACAGATTACACTTTGAAAAACAAGAGATCCTAGAAGCTTAGAAGTTCTCAGACTGTTCATGTGCAGATGAATTCCCTGGGGAAATTGTTTAAAATGCAGAGTCCACATTCCATGCCCTGAGAGTCTCAGGTGGAGCCCCGGCTCCAGGGCATCAGCAGACCTCCCTGCAGTTGAGAGTGTGCTGGATCCAACTTTGACTAGATGTCAGACCACGGTGCCAGCCGCTCTTGGCTTTATAACCTACCCAATCTGTGATCGGAAATAAGTAATTTAACATCTTTTAGGCATAGTTTCCAAAAACTGTAAATGGGTTTTGTATTGTCTGTTCTGTTGGTGCCCTCATATTGCTGAATCGTTCTATATGTTCACAAGCCATACAGATGTAAGTTTCTGGCAGCCCTCGGAAATCATTTCCAGATCATTTGATACTAAGATGTCACCACCTTCTGCCTGATGTAGGGCCCGCCCCGCTTTCCTGTCCTTTGAAATAGTCAAAGCGGATCACAGGAATATGTTCTGAGGGAGTTCTGGAACCTCACCAGGAAGCCTCAGATGCTGAGAAAGACACAGAGGTGGGCTTCACCCATGTCAGTGTTGGCTTCAGAACCATTGCAGATGCAAATCTGAACCCATAAAGCACCTGTGCCCTAAAAGATCACTCTTGTCTTCATGCTCCAATAATATCTTTGATTTTCTTTTGTTCTTCAAACCTACAGCTTTGGTTTAAAGACCTTATGATACACTGACGAAACTTTCTTTTTCCCCTTCCTGCCTAGTAGAAAGAGGATCAGTGGCCCTCGTGCTTGCATCCGCTATGTTTCTGAGGCTAAAGTGGTGGCAGTTTCTGATAAATTGAAAACAATGCAAGTATCAGGTAGCACTGTAGTTCTTCCATTTCTTCCATTTCATTGAACATCTATTCAATCTCACAGTTCCATCGGCCTGCAGAATACATCCTCTCATCTTTCTGTGTGCCCCGCCCTTCCACCCTAGCACCTCACATTCAACATCTGTTACTTATTCAAGATGCAGGAAAGTTCCCTTTTGGGAGAGATCATAATCCAAAGACAGGAGTGCACAACCGCTTGGAAATAATGATACGAGTCAATACAAAATTAATTTAAAAAATAAAATGAAGTGAAACTGATTACGTAAAAAATGTACTGCATAGTATCTGAATCCACATTCATGCCAAAATATGGACACATACACACACATACACACAAATACATGCACACATAATGCACAAGAAGTTTTGAAATCTTTTATAACTGAAAAGAGTTTCATGTGCAGAGGTTGCGCTGAGCTCAGTTGAGTCGGTGAGTCTCCGTGAGACTTGGAGGAGGCAAGATGACTCCTGGAGCCTGAGTGTGGTGAAGGTCTCCAGGAAAGATCTTCCCATCACACATGCTCACCCAAGATCAGCTTCCCCAGCAGACTTATTCCTGAAATTGTAACCTTAGAAGGTTTTATTTTAAGAAAGAAGGAAAGGAAGGAAAGGAAGGAAAGGAAGGAAAGGAAAGAAGGAAGGAAGGAAGGAAGGAAGGAAGGAAGGAAGGAAGGAAGGAAGGAAGGAAGGAAGGAAGGAAGGAAGGAAGGAAGGGAGCCCTCACTGGTCACTCAGTTCCTGGCCCTGGTTGGGGTGTGTGTGCCGGAGACTACAAACTGGTGTGTCTCTCTCACATCCATCTTTCTCTCTGTGTGTGTCTCCCTCTCCCCTCCACTCTCTCTAAAAATCAGTGGGAAAAAATACTCTGAGTAACTAGATGGTTGCGGGTGACAGGGGTCCCTCGGGCCGCTGGCCCAGGTGGCTGGGGCATCACTGCCCAACCTTACGGCGCCCCTTTTCCTAAGAAAGCGAGGCCACGGGACACCAGTGCCCAGCCTGGGAGCCGGGAGAACCCCGCACAGAAGGGAGCCTCGCCCAAGGGAACCTGACTGGGTGGGCGGCAGTGCCCGGGTTCCCCTCGGCGGGTTCGGGGCCCTGTGACGCCAGAAGGCGACGCGCCCCGCCCCGTTCCCTGCGGCGCTGCCCCGCAGCCCGGCTCCCCGACCAGCCCAGAGGCCCGCGTCCTCCTCTCCGAGGTGTCGGGGAGGACCCCAGCCTCTGCCTTCCTGTCCCCCCCGATGGCGGCGGCGGCGAGCAGCAGCGGGTCCAAGACCGAGTTCATTGTGGGAGGGAAATACAAGCTGGTGCGGAAGATCGGGTCCGGCTCCTTCGGGGACATCTACCTGGCCATCAACATCACCAACGGCGAGGAGGTGGCGGTGAAGCTGGAGTCGCAGAAGGCGCGGCACCCGCAGCTGCTGTACGAGAGCAAGCTCTACAAGATCCTGCAGGGCGGCGTGGGCATCCCGCACATCCGCTGGTACGGCCAGGAGAAGGACTACAACGTGATGGTCATGGACCTGCTGGGGCCCAGCCTGGAGGACCTCTTCAACTTCTGCTCCCGGAGGTTCACCATGAAGACGGTGCTGATGCTGGCCGACCAGATGATCAGCAGGATCGAGTACGTGCACACCAAGAACTTCATCCACAGAGACATCAAGCCCGACAACTTCCTCATGGGCATCGGCCGCCACTGCAACAAGCTGTTCCTGATCGACATCGGCCTGGCCAAGAAGTACAGGGACAACAGGACGAAGCAGCACATACCCTACAGGGAGGACAAGAACCTCACCGGCACGGCCCGCTACGCCAGCATCAACGCCCACCTGGGCATCGAGCAGAGCCGCCGGGACGACATGGAGTCCCTAGGGTACGTCTTGATGTATTTCAACAGAACCAGCCTGCCGTGGCAAGGGTTAAAGGCTGCCACAAAGAAACAGAAATACGAGAAAATCAGTGAGAAGAAGATGTCCATCCCTGTGGAAGTTCTATGTAAGGGCTTTCCTGCAGAGTTTACCATGTACTTAAACTACTGCCGTGGGCTGCGCTTCGAGGAGGCCCCGGATTACATGTACCTGAGGCAGCTCTTCCGCATTCTTTTCAGAACCCTGAACCACCAGTACGACTACACGTTTGACTGGACGATGTTAAAGCAGAAAGCAGCCCAGCAGGCAACCACCTCCACCGGGCAGGGTCAGCAGGCCCAACCCCCCACAGGTTTCTGAGCATGAATGAAGGAATAGAAGGAACAGTGCAGATGACCCGAGCAGCATTTGTTTCTCCCCAAACCTAGAAATTTTAGTTCATATGAACACTGGCCAATGGTTGTGGACAACCATTTACTTGGTGTAAAGAGCTTAATTTCGGTATAAACTGGATCTGAGCAGCATTGGTGATGCTGTGTCCCGAGTTCTAGTCGCTGTCATTGTGAATAATAACCCCGACAGTGAAACATGGTGTCCAGTTTTCTATTGCATTTTTTTTTCAAGTGGAAAAGTTAATTGAATGGTTGACACCACAGATTGGTGGAGAAATTGTACATACGCCAATTTTATTTTTGTTAAAATCTTTTTCTTTGAACTGTAGTGCTTTGAGATCTCATTTCAGAAGAATGGCATGAACAGTCTTAAGCACAGTTATGATGGTTGTGCATGCTCACAATGTGCATTCTTAGGGTTTACCCACCCCTGGGGTTTGCAAATTGTTCACTCAAAACATTCTTAAAATGGTTGGCTTCTTGTTTGCAAGCCAGCTGATATGGTAGCAACCAAGATTCCAATGTTTGAGCCTCTGAAAGACTGCCTGCTAACCTGTGCTAGAAATAACAGCATCTAAAGTGAAGGCTTGAGAAAAACATACTGACTACTAGATTATCCTTAGGATTCTGCATTAACTCTATAATCTTGGTATTAAAAAAAGCATATGGTAATTTGTCACAAAAATTTAGTTAATATCTTAAAACTGAATATGTACGTATGTTGCTCAGGTAAATGTAATCACTGTAAATATCTACATAATCTGGGATTTTTTATTTTGAAATGGGAGTTGTTTGTTTACAAGTTCATTAAAAACTAAAAACTGTTTCTGAAAAAAAAGAAAATATCCTTAGTTGTGGATTAACAAAAGAAAAAAAGAAGAAAAGAGCACATGTTAAACTTTGTCAATGGTTTGCTTCTCCCTATGAGTGAGTCTGTGTGCTTCTTTCAGAGAGATTTCTGTATGCAGTTTCCTATGACAAATTACTACCAGCTTAGTGGCTCAGTACAACACAAATTACTTATTTTACAGTTCTGGAAGTCAGAAGTCAAAACTGGGTTTCACAGGGCTGCATTCCATCTGGAAGCTCTACTGGAGAATCCATCTCCTTGCCTTGTCTAGCTTGTAGAAGGCATCAACATTCCTTGGCTCGTGAATGCTTCCTAAATCCTAGCCAATAGCCTAATTTTTTTTTCTTTCTTTGAGCTCTGTTTTCATCTACATAACTTCTCTGACTCTTCTGCTTCCCTCTTCTACCTTTTAATGACTCTGGAGATTATACTGAGCCAATCCAAGTAGTCCAGGATAATTTCATCTCATGGTCCTTAATCACATCTGCAAAATCCATGTTGACATATAAGATAACATATTTATAGGTTTCAGGAACATCCATTATTCTGCCTACCATGATTTCTAGAAAACAATAGTATAAAGGGTTGGTTTTGCTAACAGGGCTCAGGAAGTAAAGGAGTGAGAAGGCAGGACCTGGATAGAAATGGGTAGGACACCAAAATAAAGATAATGAGCACCCAAGAAAGAGAAGGTGTTCCCAAATTGGGGAATAACAAAAAGGTAAATAGTGATTAAGAAAAAAAAATTTTTTTTTCATAGTTTTCATAGAGCTTGCTACAAAATAAAAATATATAGGCAATAAGCAAAAAAATGTTCATCGCTATTTATAATAATAAAAGCGTCATCTGCTAATTAGACCAGACATCCTTCCACTGGCCTTCCAGATGAAGCCAGGGCTGGGGGGAAGCCTAGGTCCTCAGTCCCTGCCAGCAGCTAGAGGGAAGCCCATGTCCCAGGTGCCAGAGGGAAGCTGGTGCCGGCAACCAGGGGAAGGAAGGACTACTCTTGCACAAATTTCATGCATCAGACCTCTAGTCTATATATAAAAAGGCTAATAATATACTAAATGTCCAACCATCCAACCAGTTGCTATGATGCACATTGACCACCAGGGGACAAATGCTCAATACAGGAGCTGTTGAGCTGCAGTGACTTGGCAGTGCTGGTTCTCAGGTGACACACCCCAAAACCAGAGAGGAGGCAGCCTGATTTCTCACGGGGCCACATGATTCCACCTTTGGCCGTGGGTTATGTTGTTGCTGAGGCACCGTCAGCCCCCAGTCTGGTTTACTGTACACTTGCATTTGTGCTCCACAACCTGCAGAGTTCCCTCCACATACCGGGAGCCTTTGGGGGATGTCAGAGAGTTGGTCTCAGCCCTTCTCTGCAGACCAGGCTGAGGGACCCCACCTGAGGGACCCAACTCACCTGCAGATGCTGGGGGAGGACCAGTGGAGGTTGGCTCCAAGGCATGTCCAGCCCTTCTCACCCAGTCCTGCCCTGCTGGTCACCATCTAATTAATTTCCTTTCAATGTGTACTAATTTGAGCACTGGGTCACTAGTAGCTACACTAATAAAAGAGAAAGATGTAAATTGATTGTACCGCTGCTACACCACCAGCCAATGAGGAGCAAGTATGCAAATTAACCCAACAAAGATGGCGGCAGCCACAAAGGTGGAGTGAGCAGGAGGCTAGGGTTGCTCCAGCCATGGAGAAAGCCAAGCTTTCCACCTGCCCTGGCCTCCACTCAAGGCTACAAAATTTCAATTATAGAAGATAAATGAATCCCAGATACCTGCTTCCAGCTCTGCTCAAAAAGCTGGAAAAAAAAAAAAAAAAAAAAAAAAAAGGAGGGGCTGGGAAAGAAAGAAAGAAAGAAGAAAGAAAGAAGAAAGAAAGAAGAAAGAAGAAATGAAAAGAAAAGAAAAAAGAAAAGAAAAAAGAATAGAAAAGAAAGAATAGAAAGAAAGAAAAGAAAAGAAAAGAAAAGAAAAGAAAAGAAAAGAAAGAAAAGAAAAGAAAAGAAAAGAAAAGAAAAGAAAAGAAAGAAAGAAAAGGAGGGGCTGGGAGCCTGGGTTCCCAGGGGGCGTGGCCAGCCTGAAAATGGCCCTCTGCCCCTTACTCAGGCTGGCCACACCACCATGGGGGGCTTGACCAGCTTGCAAACAGCCATCAGCCCCTCACCCTGGCTGGCCAGGCATCCCAGTCGGACTCCCACCCTGATCTGGGACACCCTTCAGGGCAAACCAGCTGGCCCCAACCCGTGCGCCTTTATTATCTATACTAATAAAGGGGTAATATGCTGATTAGACTGGGAAACCTTTCAGGCATTCTTCTGGACAAAGCCATGGTGGCAGGGCCAAGATAGAGGCAGTTAGAGGCCAAGAGGGGAAGGCAGTTTTGGGTAATCAGGCCAGGATGGGACAGCAGTTGTGGGTGATCAGGCTGGGGGAGCAGGACTGTTGGGGGTAAGCAAACCAGCAGGGAGGCCATTTGGGGATGAGCAATCCGTCATTGGGAGTCTGTTGGGGGTGATCAGGAAAGCAGGGGGGTGGGCAGTTTGAGTTAGAAGGCCAGCAGGGGGGCAGTTGAGGGCAAGCAGGCCAGTGTGGAGGGGAGGTGGGGGCAGCAGGCCAGCAGGGGGGGCAGTTGGGAGTGAGCAGGCCAGCGGGGGGAGGGGGGAGGGAGGGGGAGACAGTTGGGGGCAAGCACATTGGCATGGGGGGGGGCAGTTGGGGGTAATCAGGCTGGTGGGAGGGGGGATTTGGGGGTTAGTAGGCTGGCAGGCAGATTGTTTAGGGGCAATCAGGCAGGCAGGTGAGTGGTTAGAAGGCAGAAGTACTAGACTGTGAGAGGGATGTCTGACTGCCGGTTTTGGCCTGATCCCTGTAAACCAGCAGTAGGACATCCTTTGAGGGGTTCTAGACTGGAGAGGGTGCAGGCCGGGCTGAGGGACACACCCCCATCTGCACAAATTTCGTTCACCAAGCCACGAGTATAAATATATATGCATATATCCATATCTGATGAGAATTATACTGCTTGTTTTTGGTAGGGTCATATGAATAATTTTTTCTTCCTCTGTTTTTTTGTAATTTCTCTGGATTCTACCTTCTAAATATTCTCCCCTTTTGCTGTAAACTGCCTTAGTCCAGGTTACATTGCTTCTCCCTCTAAAATTTTCTCTTATTTTCATGTTTGTTCTTTTAATCCATTCTTCAAACAACATTAAAAAATATCATTCTAATTGCTTATCTGCCACCTTAACCCCCCTGCTTCTCAAACCTCGGGTCTTTGCTGGCTTTTCTCACTGATCTTCTTAATGGTCCTTGCAGCTAGACCACCTGCCACGCCCTCCATTGTCTCCTGAATACCTCCATTACTATTTCATACTGTCTTGACATTCCACTAGACCAGTGGTAGGCAAACTCATTAGTCAACAGAGCCAAATATCAACAGTACGATTGAAGTTTATTTTGAGAGCCAAATTTTTTAAACTTAAACTTCTAATGCCACTTCTTCAAAATAGATTCACCCAGGCCGTGGTATTTTGTGGAAGAGCCACACTCAAGGGGCTAAAGAGCTGCATATGGCTTGCAAGCCACAGTTTGCCGACCACGGCACTGGACTATATCACCAGAAAGGCAAGGATTCTATACTCAGCATTTGATTTGATGCCCATAATAATGATTCTTAGTAAATGTGCTTAATAAGTAAATGCACCACTTTTTAAATAAAAATACAGACAGCATAGCTTTTCCTCTATTCTCACACAGAAATTTCAGAGGGTGCTTCTACCCTCACCAACACCCCTTTGCCAATCACTTTTTCCAAGATAGAACCTTAGCAGTGAGAGCCCAATAGTCATTGGTCCATATCCTTTATAAATAAATAAATAAATAAATAAATAAATAAATAAACATATATATATATATATATATATATACACACACACATACATACATACAATTTCAGAGAGGCAGGAAGAGGGAGAGACGGTTCAATTCAACCAAGTGGTAGGTGTTTTTCCTACATATCTCTAAATAATTAGTTTTTTATACAAATTTAACAGATTTAGTACTTAATTTTCTTGTCCACAAAATGATCTCCCCCCCCCCCCTTTTTTTTTTTTTTTGAAGATAAGCAGCCGACCAGTGAATATCTAATAGCTATGCTCTGTGCATGGTTTTGATTCCATAGACTAGGACATCTGCCAGAAACTCCAAAGCAGGGGGGATGCCTAAGGTTTTCAAGACACAAAAGTCTCCTGATATTTTGGGGTAACCTTCAAGCCAGCATGGTGTCAGGGATGGTAGTTTAGGGAGATAGAACTCAGGCACTGACCAGAGTAAGGAGAGGGAAATGCT